TCTGTATGATTCGTTCCTTTGGCACTTTATCCGTTCCTTTGTCATATGATTCATTCCTTTCTCAGATGATCTGTTCCTTTGTCACATGCTCCATGAACCCTAAATGCTCCATTTAGATCCAAGTGCTCCAAATGCTCCATGAACATGATCCAAATGCTCGAGTCACATTTAACAATTTCCTTATAAGGGGTGTGGATACCTTCCTTGTCACAACACGTTCTAAAGCCTTTAGGGCAGCAGATCACATAAGAAATATGTAGTTAAGCATGCCCAGGCGAGAGCAATTCCAGGATGGGTGACCCCTGGGAAGTTTTCGTGCTGGGAGCCCAAAGCGGACAATATTGTGATATGTGCCAGAGGGGGATGTTACAAATGGTATCATAGCTGGGGCATGGGTGTATGTGTTCGACGGGGACGTTAAACCCTATAATGGGTGGTGACGGTGGCTGGATGGTTGCACCTGATCACACATCGGCTTGGAAGGAGAAAAAACATTTTCTTATAAGGGTTGTGGATACCTTCCTTGTCACAATGCGTTTTAAAGCTATGAGGGCAACAGATCCCATAAGAACTCTACAGTTAGGCGTGCCCGGGCAAGAGCAATTCCATGATGGGTGACCCCCCCTGGGAAGTTTTCGTGCCAGGAGCCCAAAGCAAACAATATTGTGATACATGCCAAATGGGGATGTTACATTCTCTCCGTCGCGACTATAATACAACAACATTTAGAGCTTCATTATTCTCCATATAGATGGATAAAGTGAATTTAACAATACAAGAACAATGTAGGTTGTAAAAAGAAGTAAATCATTACCATAGTATTGATAAGAAATTTCATCCCGGGGACATTTGCCATCTTGCCAGGTCAGGAGTAAGGTGACCTAGGATTAAGCCCTGTATACATCACCCACGGTCACACCCAATTAAAAGACAATCGAAAACATTGAATCAAACGAAATTGCTTTGAATACCTCTTTGTATGTAAACCCTCATCACTATTTTAGAGAGATGGTGAAGTTGATTGCCTTTTATGGTTGTTGCGACTGCTATTACCATTGAAACAGCCGCCGACGGGTACTATTGCATCGCTGACCATTGTTGTTGCTCTACGTCGCCAACCGTCGACATTATTACCAGATTCAACCATGATCGATCAGATGAAAAAGTAGACTAAAGCGATTAACTACAAATTATGAATATATTTTGCTTCAATGAGACGATGATTAGAGGTTCAGATTTGAGGGATTCGGTGGGTACTTGAACGGTGAAGACATTTAAAAAAATGTCAGGAGAGAGAGAGAGAGAGAGAGAGAGAGAGAGAGAGAGAGAGAGAGAGAGAGAGAGAGATAATGATGGTGGTGAAGGGATCTAGAACAAAAAAGAACAAAAAAAGAAGTGCCAATTCGGAAGAGGGATGCGGTGACCGTCGTTCTCTTTCTGTTACTCTTTCGATTGCGATGGTTGTTGGGTGAAAAATAGATTCTAGAAGCCACGAATTAAAGCGGAAGGGAATAGCCGATGAAAAGAAAATGGAGTGGTGGGAAGAGAAGGAATGAAAAAGCGAGAGGAAGAGAAGGAATGAAAAAGTGAGTGGAGGGAAGAGAAGGAATGAAAAATCGAGAGGAAGACAGTTAGACGACATGTGTCTATGACACTGACCCAAGTATCCACCACCGACTTCCAGACTTCCAGCTAACCAAATTTGGGAACTCCTGAAATTAGAGAGACTAAAAGTGACAAACTCCTATAATAATGTGGCCAATGTGCCACAATGTCTGAAGTATGAAACCTTACTATTGGTAACCTTTTCCACTTTTAATATATATATATATATATATATATATATATATATATATATATATATATATATATATAACATTTTTGGCGAATAGTTTCTTATGGGGAAATAATTATTAAATTTTAATATTTGTTATTATGTAATAAAAAATTATCACTTTTAAATAAAATATTTATATTTATATCTTATGTTTATATTGTTTGTTTATACTATTGATGTAAATTAATTATTATTGATGTTTAGTTTAAGAAATTTAAATTAATTTATATATATATGAATTTAATATTTTAAATTTTTTATTTTGCTCCAAATTGAATTTCTTAATTACTTTCTTTAATTCAACTCTTCAAACTTTTGACAAGTATTAATGAATTATTTATGCATAATTGATATGTACAAAAGGCCATATAACTTATATCTCTTAAAATTCAAGATATGACTAATATATATATATATATATATATATATATATATATATATATATATATATATATATTTCGCTATGAAAATATAACTATAAAATATACAAAATAACAAAATAGAAACATTGTAGATGAGGCATTTGTTCAAACAATGTCCTTCAAACAAATTCATCTAGTAGTAGTTGATTCTTCAAGACCATCTGAACCTTCACTAAGACTAAAAATACCTTGGTCATAATAATAGGAAGTAGTAGAAACATAACTGTATGAGAGGAAGAAAATATCATTTCATCTGGTGCAGTCACTAAGGTGTTGTATATATACAACAAAAAGTAACTGAAGTCTTAAACATCAAAATGTAACTTTCAAATTTAAAGATTGTAAATTAACCAAGAAATTAAAACCGAAATATATGATTAATGAACGTTTAATACAAGTTTATAATTGATAAATTTTTAGTTACGAAAAGAAAATATTTGGAAAAAAAGTCATTGAACTAGTCTGGTCGATTGGTGGTGCATTCGTACCCACAGGACGTGCGATTGCACACAAGTTCGGTAAAATCAACCCAATTCGGTTTGTATTTGCACCCCATATGCGTACTGTTGGAAAATTAATTTAATTAATTTCCAAAAATGGATTTTCTCCATTTTTGAGCACAAATTTTGGACTATAAATATAATCAAAACAAGTTATTGATTATATATTCGTGTTCTCCTCCGTGTTATCTACGTTTCGATATATCACACGTCCAAAACGGATTAAAAATGAATGAGAAATTACTTGTCAAAGTAGGGCAATTGGAAGAGAAAATAAAAGAGTTAAGTGAGTTTAAAACTCATCCCACATTGGTGGGAGAATGAAAAGGAAATTGGTTTATAACTACAAAGACTAGCTACCTTTGTAAGACTTATTAGAACCAAGGCTCTCTCTTGCGCGCGCACGCAGGGGGGGTGCAAATGCGAGCCAAATTGGCTTCGGGCCATTGAACTTTTGTGCGGGCACGAATGCACCATCGGTCGTCCGGAAAAGTTCAAGGACCTTTTTTGCATTTTTTTCCTTTTGGTTAACAGTTACAAAAACGAATTAAGAGCAATTAATCATAGATTTCGGTTTTGATTTCTTGGTTAATTTTCTTATTTAATTGTGTCGTCTTAATTGCATCGGTTACATTGGGTAGTATATATACAATGTCAATGCCTATGGGACTGATTCGAGACACCGGATGAAACGAAATCACTATCTTCCTCTCTTATGCTTCTGCTTCATCTCTTCTCTCTTGCTGCAACCAAGGTATAATCCGGGTCAAGTGAACACCCATATAGGGCGAATTTGGTTTAAGGAAACTGTGTTAAACACAGACCTCAGTCAAGGATTTTATGGTTTTGTTCTTTCGTACAATTTTGGGTTATATTTTCCTAACACGTACAAGAGAGCCTTTGTACTTATATAGCTACTTTCTTTTCATTATCCTATCAATATGGGATGAAATTAAACTCATTAACCCCTTCTTTAACTTCTTCTAAATACATCATCTTAATATATAATTTATCATTTATCTTAGATCTGTTTTGGACGTGTGATATACCAAAACGAAGATATCACGGAGTTGAACACGAACATACAACCATTTGTCATTATTAGTAATGTTTAGTGTTCAAATTTTGTGCTAAAAAAATAGGAAAAACCTATTTTTAAAATTGGTTAAAACCAATTTTCCAACAATTTTTTTGCGAATATTCCAATAATTTTTTTGTGAATTTTCCTTAAAAAATTGCATAATTGTCTTAGAATAAACTATAGTTTAAATTAAGAGTTAATGTTAAATATTCATTTTTATTACATTTGATCACTAATATAGAAGAGGTCGATAATGAAATATAAATCTTTAATAATATAGATGATATTTAAAATTGATACTAAGTAGCCCTGTCGAAAATACCCGATACCCGAATTACCCGCCCGATTTTTTCGGGTATCGGGTAAATTTTTTCGGGTAATCGGGTAACCCGATTTTTTTTCAGGTCGGGTAAAGGGTATGTTTCTTGTGTTTCGGGTATATCCGAATTACCCGAATTATTTTAAATTTTTTTTCGTAGAGCTTTTTACTCTGTAATAGGTATTTAATCACGCTTAAACTAACTATCATTATTGTAAAACATAAATCTCTTTTATTACGACAATATGACACTAGCAATAGTAATATATCTTTAATTTGTGGAGGACGTGACAAGAATCGAATACAACGCTCTTGATTGCTAAAATACGAATATTAACATATCTTTAATTTGTGGTGGGGTGTACATATTGGACGGATTGAAGATCACCGAATCCAACATTTGTCTACAACCATGATTTATGCATACAAAAGTTAATTAATAGCAATAATGTTAAGCATAATAAAAACAAAAATATTAATTATAGATATAAACTAAATATCAAATTTTAAATTTTAAAAGTTAATTAATAGCAATAATGTTAAGCATAATACAAACTAAATATCAAATTTTAAATTTTTTAAAAATTAAATAATAATCCATATGTTGTGGCCTTGTGGGTGGTTAACCAAATCTTCTTTGCAAGATGCCAAATCAACCTGCTTCCCTATAACATCGGGTAAAATCATATATTTAACAGGTTAGTAACACGTTTAGTAATCTAAAATGCATAAAAAACGTTTAAAGACCAAATGAATAAAAAAAATTAATTAGTTTGTCTAACAGTAGATTAACCCTTAAATTCAATCTCAAAAAAAATGAATGTCTCTGCTCAATCCTCAATGTTACTTACAGGCCATCGTGTCCACTACCAGCAAATGAAAGGAACACTCGACTCAACTTGGGTCCCTCCCTTTCTCTCCCATGTTCAGATCACACCAGTTCTTTCTACGAAATGCATACGTGTGTCTCAACTCTCTTTCAGCTAATCCTTTTTCTTCAACGCTTTCCTCAATTCTGTATTCTATGTACCTCTAGTTCTCCGAATTCCTTTTAAAAAAAAGTATAATTTATCAGTATAGTTGAATCAAAAGAGCAAAAATCCTTTGGAAATTTTACAACAACCCAAATTTTGGCAATCAAGAGCGTTAGATTCGATTCTTGTCATGTCCTCCTCATCGCTATTATACTAACCGCATTAAATAATTTGCTTCTTTTTACCCATTCGCGATCAATGCCATTTGTCTACTCCTTGCCCCCTTTCATGGTATTATTGTAATCATATCAACTGCCATTAGTTCCTCAGCATACCCATCAAATTATACATATTCACATCTTGATTAGGCTGAAAAAACTTGGTGGGTATTACCTAATTTGGTTATAATTGATATTATCTGTTCTGGGTCTCTCTCTGCTTCCACTTTTTTTGTCGGTGTTAATGAGAATCAATTGCTTTTTGCCCTAGGTTCAGTTTATGTACTTTTGGGGACCATTTTAATGATTTCTCGAATTCATATAAAGAACCTGGATCTAATTTTCCGGTTGATTTTGTTGGTTTAAATCGGTGTGATGCATATTGAAGTTATTAACAACAATGGCGACTTTGATCCCTGGTGTATTGTTGAAATTGCTTCAGCATATGAACACGGATGTGAAAGTTGGAGGTGAACACCGATCATCTCTATTGCAAGTGGTGAGCATTATTCCTTCTTTATCTGGTGGTTCACTTTTTAAAAACCAAGGGTTTTACATAAAAGTATCCGATTCTTCTCATTCCACATATGTTTCTTTACCTGATCACCAAAATGATCTTATTCTCAATGATAAGATCCAATTGGGTCAATATATATTCGTGGAGAGGCTGAAATCAGCCTCTCCTGTGCCCATTTTACATGGGTGTCGGCCACTTCCAGGCCGACACCCTTGTATAGGAACCCCTAAAGATATTGTTGCCACACACTCTTTGGGGTTCCTAAACAATAATCAATTGAGTAGCAAGAAAACTACACCGATTTTGGCAAGATCGATATCTCATTTGTCAAAATCGGTAAATGATGGAATTAGAGCAAAAGGGTCTTTAAACCTAAACAATAATCAATTGAGTAGCAAGAAAACTATACCAGTTTTGGCAAGATCGATATCTGAAATGTCAAAATCGGTAAATGATGGAATTAGAGCAAAAGGGTCTTTAAACCTAAACAATAATTTTAGTAGCAAGAAAACTACACCACTTTTGGCAAGATCGAAATCTCATATGTCAAAATCGGTAAATGATGGAATTAGTGTAAAAGGGTCTTTGAGATTGAAAGCAAAATCGATCAATTCAAGCCAAATGCCTATGTCTCCATCCGGTTGTTATTCAATGCCGAATTCATTTGAGAAGTTCTCTAATGGGGTTAAGAAGCAATCGAGTATCAATGGAGTAAATAAGACAATGGGTAAGTTGAATTTGGGAGGAAAAGTGAGTCAAAGTGTGAAGAAGAAATATGGGATTCAAGGTATTGATTTGGGACATAAGGCTCTTAGGAAGAGCTGGAAGGGTAGTATGGAGGCAAGGATTCCAAAACTTAATATCATCAAAAAAACTTCAAAGCCTGAATCTCGGATTACTTTTGTAAGTTCTTTTTATCCTAAAACATCAATTATCTGTTCTTTTGTTTTGTTTCTTTTTAATTATCATTTCTAATCTACCGAATGGAACTAATCTTATAATGTAGACTTCAAGAAAATCGACAAGTGAAATGACACAATCGAAGGAGGAGGATAATAAAGTGAAGTTGTTTGTAAAGTCATCTAAAGAAGAAAGTAAGAATGAAACACAAGTGAAGAAAATTGCTATGATTAAAGAAAAATCATCAAATGGGAGGAAATCATTAGCAAAAGCTTCATGTAAGGGATTATCAGGAAACATGATGAAGGTTTCTCTTAGTAATAAGAGATTAACATACGAAAGTGATTCTTGGTCTTCACTCCCATTGGATATTTCAAACCTTGGAAAGGTATATTTTCAATTATTATATGACTATTGCATTGTTGGAGTGTGTGATTCACTTTTAGTTGTGGTTAAATGCAAGAAACAGCAATGTACTTTCATTTATTGGTTTATTATAGCATCATACTTTCAGTTTTTTTCTATTACTACATTGTACTTTGAACTATTGCAATCCCATCTAGATACAAAGCAATTTTTCAATGCTATAATGAGTAGATTTTTAAAAGTACATTGTTCTAATATAAAAAGTTAAAAACTGAAAGTGAGATTATATAATTTGGTAGATTTTCAAAGTATAATGCTTAATAAGAAAAAAGTTAAAAATAGAATACTGTAATAGAAAAAATGAGAGTAAGATGCTATAATTATGTGTATTGAAAGTAATTATCGAATTATGCATCTTCAAGTTGCAATAATTTGTGTATAGTAGTGTTTTTGTAAACCTATTTGTGTATATGATTATCTGATTATATAGAGTTATATAACTGGTCTTCATACTAGTCACAAAGAAAACGATCATCAAATGGTAGGAGTAAAATTATTTATATACCTTTATTCCATATATGCATTTGCCAAAAAAAAGCACCATAAAAAATTTTACTCTTCAAGCAATAGGAGCACATTCATGATTCAAGCATTACATCAAGGGGCATTTTTGTCCTATGTTGCATTTGCAAAAAAGTTCAACTTAACTTTCACATGATTTTCTCAGATTGTCATGATAATTAGAACTCATGCCATGATTTCACAGGAAGTGCTGAAGCATAGAGATGCTGCACAAATTGCTGCCATGGAAGCTATGCAAGAAGCTTCAGCTGCTGAAAGCATACTTCAATGTATAAGGTACTTTGTGGCATAAAAATCAATCTTTTATAATATCAAATTAATCTATGTTCTAAAAAGATTTTGCTTCTAATTTACACGAGGTATGCCATGTGAGTGCCACATCAGCATTGATTACTAAACCTTTTTTTAACTTTTTTTTTGACAGGACTTATTCTGAGCTCTGTTCTTCCGCAAAAGAAGACAACCCACAGCCCACTATTGACCAGTTTTTGTCCATGAATGCTACCTTAAATAACATTCATCAAATTACCAAATCTTTAACAAAAATCATAAACCCTAATTCATCATCAAATCCCGAAGAAAACCCATCAGAAGAACTCATAAAACTCACATCTGATCGACAAAAAAAAGCAAATCTTTGGGTACACTCTGCCTTAATCACAAACTTATCATCTTTCACAGTGTACACCAAACAACCACCATGTTCTAGCCGCCGGTCAACCCTACCACTCGATGGCTCCACCAAGACCCCACCACCAAGCCACGTAGGACTGTGGTTGACCAAAACTCCCGGGCCCCACCTTCAAAATGGGAAAAGGGGTCTGGTCTTTATGAGACGATAAACTTGGCAGAAATGTTGAAAATGGAGTCGGGTGATTGGTTTTTGGGGTTTGTTGAAAGATTCTTGGATGCTGATGTGGACATGGTATCGGATAATGGTAGAATCGCGGGGATGCTGACTCAGCTCAAGAGTGTGAGTGAGTGGTTGGATAAGATTGAGACGAGTAAAGATGAAGGGGAGAGAATTGATCGGATAAGAAAGAAGATTTATGATCATCTTCTTACACATGTGGAATCTGCTGCGGTTGCACTTGGTGGAGCCTCAGTAACATCACAAAGTGAAAGAAAAGCTAAAATGTAAAAAAAAGATTTCATTTTTTTTTGTATATACAAGAACCATAAGGGTGTTGTGGTATAGACGTATAGGTGTGGAGTTTTCGTGTAATTAGTTATAAAGAAAGTTCAAGTTTTGGGTTTGCATAGTTGTGGAACACAATTATTGAAAGTATATATAGAAGATGTCATGTGTGTGTCTTTTAGCGTTTTAGGATATGAAAATTAATAAGTGAGGCGAGGTCCAAGGTCGGAGACCGTGTGTCACCTTCTTTGTTCTGTTCTAGGTGGAGTTTACCAACGGGTTAAATGCAAGAAACAAGAATGTACTCTTATTGATTAGTTTATTATATTGTCATACTTTCATTTCTTCGTATTACAACATTTTGAACTCTACATTGATCTAGTTATAACAATGTCATTGAAATACAAAAAAACTTTTATTGTTGTAATAAAAAAAATTCAATGCAACTAACGTTATAAATTCATGACGGCCCAAGATAATAGCCACACTCCATTCTTTATTTTGGACATTTTTGTGATTATATTGTGGATTCTAAGATGCTTCACCCGTGGTAATGGTTCAATTACACCATCGAGTTTAATATGAAGGATTGTGAAAGGGGAAAGTTTCTTTGACAAGCATCATGTGTTATGAAGGATTGAGAACCATCTTAGCCTTCATTGTTTAATTACAAAAAGTGAGTTTGGTTTCGTAGTTTTGTACACTAGGCTTCGTAATGATATACATTATTGTTTTGACATTCTATCACAACCTAGGCGTGATGACCTGATTGGTCGGTCTCTAACCGACTCTCTGTTTTGTGAAACTATAAATAAAGATGTTAGTTAGAATTCTTGATCACTTAATTAATTCTAAATTAATTCTTGATCAATACTAATTAAATAATATTATTAATATATTAGAACTTATAATATATTAATAAACCATAAGTGTTATTTCTCTCATTTTAGTCTATCCAAATGCATGATGCCATGCAACCCAAATGGACCATGCCAAACCGAGTCAAGTACATACCAGAAATAGTTATGGACTTAGACACCTTATCCAACAGTCTCCCACTTGGATAAGTCTAATAACTATAACTGCAAGTATGACTTCAGGAACCGATCAACAATCGTAGCTCTTTCAAGGTCTCTCGGAACTGAGATGATGATGATACGTCATTTAAGATAAGTGATCATATAATCCTCTGTTCTAGATATCAGCCGGACAAATACATGGAACAATGTCTTACTTATTGTCCAGCAGTTTGTTTCCCGATTTCCGATTTGTTTGACATAGAACTTAATTGAACACATCAACTTAGTTTTGACCGGGCCCGGTACATGGGTCAACACAAAATCATCGAGGGGCCCAGATATCGCTTCTAATCCAAGAAGGAACAGATAAACTTCGACTCATATGCTTGTTCTACTACTTGTTGAAGCATACACAAAGGCACGTTTTATAACATCGAGTTACCAATGCGTTTTCGTACAATCAATGCATAACCAACTCATAGGCAACAAGTCATATCTCTAGGTTTGAAGACTTATATGATATTACCGTCTCGCGATCACTCGAGATAAATTCCATGAAGTGATACCAGCGAGCGTGGGTTGAATCCAATACTCAGAACTTATGATCACTCATGAGTGTTGTAGCCATGTCCAACATCTTAGACCTCTACAACCAACTCATGACAATCTTAATTCATACCTACTTCCAACATATGACCGACTGTGGAGAATTCGAATAATATGATATACCAAACATAATTATTCTGGAAGTCAAAACATGCAATTAAGCCTCGCAACCCCAAATCTTGATGTGGTCTAGATTAGGAACTTTTCCAATCCACATCTCATGAGGAGTTTTGGCAACTTTCTTTGTTGGGACTAGATTAAGGATATGGGCGGCAGTCTCTAAGGCATACCCCCAGAATGAGATTGGTAGCGAAGCTCGACTTATTGTGACAACTGTCAAATTCAAGTCAAAGTCAAAGTCAACAAGTCAGAGTCAAACCCAACAAGTCAAACCGGTCAAACTTAACCAGTACTTGTATGTTAAAAGTTAATCTATAAAAATGTGCATTGGTATGCCAAGAATTCAAGTGTTTCGGATATTTTATGTGTATAGCAATGTAAAACCCTAAAAAGGGAGTTAAACGCATCAAAACACGACTATGGACCCTCTTGGGGACTTAAAATGATCATAACCGAATCATAACGGGGTTCACGAACCTTGCATTGCGCGACAATACAATAATATTGACTAAAAATGAATCTCTCCCAAATCTCTCTTAAAATCTCCCTCAACTTTTTTTTAGTCATCTGGGTCATCCTGACCCTTAACTTGGCCAAAAACCGCTTGAAACGGAAAGTTTACGTGAAAAACAACTAAATAGGGTCGAAACCCTTCTTAGGGACCGAACCCCCTTAGAGGAGAACCTCTTAGAGCTGAACCCTGCATAGAACCGCAGGTCCCTTGTGAGAACCGAACTTAGCCTTTCAGGACCGAACTTAGCCTTCAGGACCGAAGCCATCATATCTCGGACCGAAACCTCTTGCACCCGAAATGAACCGAGCCCTCGGTCCATTTCGGTTCCCTCTGACCTTCGGACCTGAGACTACCCTTCGGACCCGAGACCCTCCCTTCGGGCCTGAGCCCTTCCTTCGGTTCCCTTCTCCCCTTCTCTCGGTCCTCACCTTTAGGAACCGAACCCTTGCAGGTTCGTTCCTATTGTCCAGTTTTCGACAACTTTTGCTTCTTAAGCCCGTTTTTGACGGGGATTTTTCACCAAATTCATATTTGATCATTTTAAACTCCCTAAACTCATATTTTATTCATTTCTCAAGGATTTATTAATTCAAAATCATTATTTTACATTAAGAAGAGTATTCTACACCACAAGTGGGTCAAGTGTGTCCACTTGTCTCCATGTGTCATCTTCTCATTGGTCCAACCCTATCCACATCACACAAACCAAAGAAAACATCCTTTCAACTTTGCAAATTAATCCAGCAACATCTATATAAAGAAATCCTTGGAGGATTTCTTGGCTTACTTTGATCACTTTCAAACACTTATACACTTCTCAAATCATCAAGAGAGCCTCTTTTTCTCTCTACTTCCAGCCACTTTTTGGGGAAGTGTTCTTGAACTACTACTTCACTTTTTGGTAAGTATTCCATCTAAAATCAAGTGTTATTCCATATTTTCATAACACTCTTGGATCATCGACATACATCTTAACACCAAAAATCGCTCTTAGGATCATCCAAGCTTTCACGTGTTCATCAAGTGTTCTTGACTTGATACTCCTCGTCTTCGACCTTCCACTCTTCAAGAAATCACTCAAGTGAGTTCATACCCCTACATTTTCCAGTTTTATTTAGTTTTCAGGGGGGGGATACAAGTTAAAACACCAAAACATATTTGAAACTTAACTCGACAGCTTACAACAGAAAAGTTGTGACCTGTTCACGGACTGTTTTACCCAACTTAAATTTAATATTTTTCAAAACTGTTTAATATGAAAATAGTTCAGGTTTATACCTTTAAAATGACTACTTACACATCTCCATACGAGTTTTCTACAATTTATGGTGATTTTTACAAAACTGTCTATCACTGCAGCAACAAAGTCGGACCAGGTTGTGAAGATGAACATTTTCACACTGGTTTGAGACCACCAAAATTATAGGAAAATTTATGAATATAGTAGACTCTTTTTTTAAACTCTCCGAGTTTACGGATTCGGTTTTCAACTTACGATGATTTTTTTTATAAATATTCTAAAACAGTGACAGTTTAGGGTAAAACTGTCAAACACAAGTTTAAGAGTTATTCACACCTTGTAACATCCTGAGCAAGGTGTGTAAGATTTACACTTAGTAGTTTCAATGTCATTTTCGTTGAAATACAAAGTCATGCATATCAAGGTTTCATTAAATCATAACGCACAACTGATAAACTATAATAGGTATAGTTTGAACATCTCATTTAACAAAGAAATGATAATACAATCGATTTACAAAACGAGTATTTCATTACAAACAACGTGAACTTGTTAATGAATAAATTTGTGAGACATTCACCTTCGGGGTACTCTTAAGTACCACAGAAAAGTCCTGTAGTTATAATCAGAATCTCTTGGAGGGAGAGCGTGATAGTTGTGTATAGATCTATATTGGGTCTGACAAACCCGCACCTAAGCTGCTTGCAACAGCTAGACCGGCAGGTCTGGGGTGACAAGTGTCACAACAATTCTGACGCCTGAAGAACGTCGAGTACGAGGTCATCGAGTTTTAGCATGGTTATAACATCTCACATGGGGAATTAACAAAACACACAGTTCACGGGGATTTAAGGAGTTTTATTTAAGTATAAAACCACACATAAGTATGACGATTTACTTACATATACTAAGTCTTGGTTCAGTTAAGACTACAACAAACCTTTTAGAAAATATTGGATTTTCTGGAAACAAACTTGTAACAAATATTAAGGAACAACATTCATCTTTCATTCATAAAACTTCTTATGAACTCACCAGCTTTATGCTGATACTCTTTCAAAAACAACTTGTATTCTCAGGTATACAGTAATACAGGTAACCACAAGATTTTTTAAGGCAAGACGCTAAGGCGCAGATTTCTTTTGAACTATTTTGACATCATATGTTTTATTTGGAAACATCATATGTAATTTATTTGGAAACATGTATTTTTGCAACGATGTAACCTTTTAAATTATATTTATGATGGTTGTGTTTACTTTCTTCACTATGGTTATGATACTGAGCATGACGTCCTCCGCCCCCGAACGTTTTCGGCGTTCTGGTTTGGGGGGTGTTACAGATTGGTATTAGAGCTTTGTTTATAGTGAACTAAGTATATCGAACCACGTAAGATATACAAACTATAAATACAACGGGACAAAATTCTCTGACATAGCTTTTCAAAAATACTTTAAAAATAAAAAATTAGTATTTTTATAAAAGTATTCGTACAATCGCACTC